CGACAAAAAAAAAAAAAAAAGGAGAAGAAAGACAGATTGGAAAGTTGTTGTTTTTTTTTTCCTATGTCTATTTTCAGTAAGATTTTGTTTTGTTTTTTTTTTTTTCCTTCATTTCTCCCTCCTTCACATCAAAAAGTTTGATGTATGTGTTGTTGTGTGAGTGAGTGTACGTGTATTTGTGCGTATATGTGCGGTATGTATCTGAGTGTGAGTGTTTGTGTGTGTGTGTGTGTGTGTGTGTGTGCTGTGTATTTGGGAGAATGTTATGTGTATTTGCTTGTTTAAGTTGACTTTTATTACTCATTGGTAGACATTCATTTAAATTCATATATTTGTAACGAAATTTTATTTGCTAATTCTATTCTTTTGTTGTTATTGTTGTTGTTGTTGTTGTTTTTTTAGCTATATGATATTCTGTTCCGTTTTTCTTTCTTGTTTTTTTCTTTACTTTTTTAATATCGGTCAGTAATATTTCTTCGTTTGTTTATTTATTTATTTATTTATTTTTTCTTTCCATTTGAATGCCAACGATATTGGCAGTTAATTTTTGCAACTTCACCTTTGAGTTTATTTTTTGGTTACTCCCCCTACTCGAAAAAAAAAAAAAAACACACAGGTCAAATGTTTCTTTTTTTGAATATACATATATTCGTTTATTTATTATCATGATACATATTTTAACCAATACGTGTAATTCGTATGTATCAATTTTTTTTCTTTCTCTCTTGTGACAAAATATGTATGATTTGATGATGGACGAATATTTTTTAGAATTCTATTCGGAAAACATTTCCATTTATGTTTCTTTACTTTTTAGGAAAGTTTTTTCGGGTTTGGCGGGAAGTAAGCTTCTTTTTCCCCGTCCGTGGGCATTTGTGGGACGATTGGATTACACCTGTTGGGTAAATTCCTTTCTTTTTTCATACCTTTTCACTGTACCAGTCATATAAGAAGCTTAAAGAGAATGATACATCTATAATTTTTGCTCTTGAAATTAATTACTTTTATTAATACCATTATTAGTATTAATATTATTACCACTACTACTATCATTATTATTGTTACTGTTACCGTTATTATTATCTTTATTGATGTTTAGTGCCAGTACATAATTTACACATGAGATACAGTCAAATATTATGCTTGCCTTTCACGGTCCTCACCTGAGAACAGTTGTTATTGTTTTTCGAAAAAAAAAAAAAAAAAAAGGATCATTGCTGTACCAGTTTTTAAAGGGCTTGAGCGGTTTTTCCTGTTTATAATTATTTTGATTTTGTCATGGACGTTCTTAAGTCCTTAACGATCTTACGTAAGAGTTTATGAAATCGTTTGTAGTTAATTCATGGGACAAATTAACTATGTGTTATTGGTTCAACTGAGAGTATGAAAGAAAAAACAATTTCATTTATAAACTGATTGTACTATATAATGTACCATCCGGGTTTTTAAAGTTTCATACATACAGTTCAAGTTTATTTAAAAGAGCGAAAAATTTTACTGTTTTTATTCAGGAAGATACGAATAGAAAGAAAGGTGTGTAAGAATGACATCGCCATCAGCCACAACTACTTCACCGCTTCTTGAAGTATTAAAATTGCACCCAAATGCTGCAGCTAATAAAGGACATTTAGCTTATTTGGTTAAGCTCACTGACGAATGTTTAACGGCATTGAATAATGCCAACAAAAGTGGGATTCCAATAAAATTGAAACTTGAAGCTCAGGTAATTCTTAATCTTCCTCTCATTCAAGTGACCGGCTTCTTAGCTTTTTCTTTTACAAAATACAGTTAAGGTCTTGTTATTTTTGGTATACAAGGCAGATCTTTGGTAATATCTTCTTATTTTAGGGTGGACTTATTGAAGTTGGCGGTGGAGATTCGGCGGGGCGGTTTCGTTTTGCTACGCAACAAATTCCTGGCACTCCAAGCTGTTGTATCACTTCAGATCGGCATAAGAACTATTCTCTTAGTGCTCTCTTTCAGTCTAAGATTCAGGTATTTGTTTTTTGCAGCTTGACAACTTCTAGCAGTAGGCCTTCTTTGGCCTTTTTTTCGGGCTTCAGCATTTAGATCGCTTTGACTAGTTGCTTTTAAAGGTTCAAGCGACAAACAGGTCGTTCGCTGAGACGCGTGAGAAGGCACAAAAAATAGTAGAGGAGGAGAAAAGGAAGGCATTGAAGGATGTCAGGTTGGTGTTTAGGAATCGCTTTTTTTTTTTCAGCGCTTTTCTGGCAAATTTGAAGCTTTCTTAGTAAGGCAGTTAGGTGGTTATTGTTTTAGCCAGAGGCACGACAGAAGAAGACCGGTTACGGTTAAGAGAGCCACTAATCAAATTGCTATTGGTGCGCAGCGCCCAAGTCCCTCGTCATCAGTGCAACAGAAACCTCATTTATCCGAGTTCGCAAAAAGCGAAAAGGCAAGTATTATCATATTAACTTCAATGTTTAACTGTTTCGAACTCATAATAATCTATAGTTCTTCACGAGTTAGATTGTTTTTGATAAGAGTGATACTGTTGAAAACTGATTCTCTCTCGTGGAGCATCATCTGTTTTTACTGTTTGAAAGCTTTTGTTTCATTTTTTCAAAGTTTATGACTATTAAAACAATTTTTTTTCAGTTATCGAATGGATTGTCAAACGGGTCAAACGCTACAGGTAGTAAATGGATTTTTGCTGAGTTATTTCAGTAAGGTAGTTGAAAATTTAGGGATTTTTTCTGGGTGTTTTATGTTTTTTTTTAGAGCGTTACTATTTTTTGAATGTTGTTTTTAATTAACCTTTTTTTTTTCAAATTTTTCTTTTCTTTGACTGCTTGTTAATCTAAGTTTTTTTTAGGTCTCGCGGGCGCACGTTCAATAGTACGAGCTGAAATCTCTAGAAAACCTTTACGTAAACGTATTATACATTTGGTGTTACTTGGGAAGTTTAGCACATTTGATGAAGTTTTGACACAGCTTCGGAAAGATTCTGTAAATATGAATGAAGAAAGTGCTTCAGAAAACTTAAAAGCTAAAGAAATTCTTGAAGAGGTAATTTTTGTTCATACATTTGTGCAGCTATTTTTCTTTTAGATTTCGTTTCCTGCTATGACTGTATCCATACACTTTATTCTTTCTTTTCAGCTCAGTTTTTTAGTAAATTTTTTCTTTTTATTAGGTGACAGAAACTAATCGGAATACGGGTCGTCTGCAGTTGAAGCAGTCATTTCATAATGAGGTTAGTTCTTTGTTTTTAGTAAATCACACAATTCTTTCTCATTCTTTCTCTGTTCTAGACGAAAACTTTTTTAGGTTGATCCTCGTTGGCCAGGTTTCACTGCAGAAGAGAAAGCAACAGTGAGAAAAATTCTAGCTGGAAATGTAGGATCTAGTAATTTTGCTCCTACGCGGAGGAATGGAATGGCGCCTCCTATAGCTCCCTCAGCCTCACATGCCAGTAATACTAATTCAGAAGGTAAGGACTTCTTAACTGTTGAGAAATCTATTTGATCTCAAATATTTTCTTTGTATAGTGCTTAAATATTAATGAATTTTTTTTCTTTTATCCTTCTCTGAACAAAAAGATTTAAGCTAACGGTGGTTCGGCGGTTTCGTCTCCTAACATATCCAGTAGTCAAAAATATTCGTCAAATACATCTAGTCGTAAGTCGTCTCCTAAAACGCCATCACCTGATAATTTTTCTACTGCTAAGAAAGTATCACCTAAGGCTTCACCGCCAGAAAGCGTTAGTAGTAGCAAAAAGTCATCACCAGCTGCGTTTACAAATAATACCAGGTAATCATTTGATGTCGTTTCAGTTTCTAGAACTTTTAGCATTTTTATTCTTCAATTAGGACACAAAGATACGTTCTTTTAGTTGTGTATCGGAGGAAACTTCCCCTACACCAGTTTCCACAGCGAAGAGGAAGGCTCATGGCACGTCATCTTTGGAGACAGCTCAGAAACGTGTTCACTTTTCTATACCTGACTGCTGTGTTAGTTTCTGGTTTAATTCCGTGTAAAACGTTTTGTTTAGGTTTATTAATTCTAGTTGGTACGGTTGCAGCTACACATCTTTTTCTGAATTTATTACGTTCTTTAGGAACAGGCAAAACGTTCGGAGCAGAATAATGCTGACAAAAATTTAGTGAGTGCCAATTCCAGCGTTTCGTTAACAACTTCTTGTCAGCCGAGCAGGGATTGGTCAAGGGAATTTGGTGAAGCAAGAAGTCATTCAGAGGCGTTAAGATACTACGACTTGTTCAATGTATTTTTTTTATTTTTTTAGCTTTCGTTAGGTGGAGCAAAGCGACATTGATTTTGTACTTAGTTTGTTTATTTATGTCTTGACCAGGTGATTATTAGGAAAAGTTAAGAAGCGGAATTGGAGTTTAGATGTGGGAAATTCAATACCATTCTATTCCAAGTCTTAAATGAGCGTTAAGATTGCTTGTTCTTAAGACGATATTTTTGTCAGCAAAACTGGAAGTCTTAAGTCGTTTTCACTTTTTTAGTGTTGCTTTTTAATTTATGAATATATATTTTAAAGTTTTTATTTATTTCTTTTAGGCAGATTACCCACGTTATATGAAATATTTTAATCGCTTGAATGCTGTTGCCAATGAATTTATAGAGTTACAAAAGCAGCTAAATGAAAAGCCGAAGCATCATGACCATCAAGAAGTTAGTCCTTTCTATACACTTAACTCTTTACTTCTTTGGTTAGTAAAGAGTTTTTTTTTTGTTGAAGATCTTCGCTGGCAATGTACTTGTTTATTTTTTGTTCTGATAGGTATGGACTCCACAGTACAGTGTTCGTGTACTTTCGTTTCCAAGTGCTGTTTCCTTTGAATGTGGCAGCTTTGAGATAATTTAATTGTATGGTGAAGTTCAATAATTTCAGATAGTGCGGATTCTACATAACAAAATAATGCAGTACAAAGCTGACGTCGACTATATTCGGGCTCGGCAGATGCACAATGATCTTCGGGCTAAATTAGATGTTTTAAAAAAGCGCATAATTTCTTGGGAAACTGGATGTGCTGAGAATGAAGCGTCAGAACCTGAACTTGAGTCGCATGCGACTGCTGACGGTAATCTGATGGTTAAGTGAAATTTATTTTTCCATATTTATATGGAGGATTTTCTGTGATATCTTGTTTGACTTTGAATGTTACAATGGGGATTTGAACTAGTCGTGCTTTACAACGAGTTGGAATGATCTCCTGGAATAATACGCCGAGAGAAACTGTTTCGGGAAAGTCTAGTTAGTCTCTGCTGGCCTCACATAGTTTCTTTCCTCTCTTCTTTTTATTCGGATGTAAAGCTCCGATACGCTTTAAAAGCTTCATCATTTTTTCAGTTTGGAAATTCTTGTTTTATTTACTAGAACTGTTGTGTTTCAGTTGTGCTTGTTTCTCTTTCCCATTACTCTTTAGAACTATTTAGTTTTCTGTTTTATCCTCTGAGCATATAAAAGTCCTTTTTCAAGGGCGACACAAAAAAAAATTTACGCGTTTTTCTGTTACTGGTATTATTCGCTTTGCCAGATTTTTTGGGTAAAAAAAATCACAGGTTTTGTGCAATTTTGAAGCTAGTTGGCTAGTTATTCTGGGTATGCTGAAAACAAGTCTTGGCCAGAAGGCTACTGATTTTTGTAATCTTTCATCCTGTTTCTGTTTTTTATATTTTATTTTGCTTTATTGCATTGTTTTTATCAGAAGCAAAAAGTTTGGCAAAAGTTATGTTTTATTTGAGTTACTGCTCCACTAACTTTCAGAGTCGTACGTCTATGACTTTTTTTTTTGAATATGGAAAAAAATATTCGTGTTTGTTATTGTTGGTGAGGGTAGAACTGTGGCAGGTTCTGAACCTTTAGTATTTATATTGTACATATAAAGTCTCCTGTACACTCTGTAGCGTAGGCCAAGGGCGGTTGTAGATAAGTGTAAATGCGGGTGTGATTTTTTCTTTATTTTATTTTTGTTTTTTTATTTTTTTTTAAATCTTTGTCCTCTGCTGTTTGCAGTATTTGATTTATGTTGCGTCAACAAAACATCAGTATGTGTCTTGCTAATTTTGAACGCACAATAGGCGCAAGGTATTGTGGTGCTTGTCGTATTTGATCATCTTGTCTATTCAAGTCAGATAGGTGATTCTCAGGTGAACTAATTTCTCTTTTTATAGAATTCCCTCGTTTCTTCAGTTTATTTTAGGTGAAGCAGCATTCTTATTCTTTTCTTTCCATCTTTTCTTTCCTTTTTATTTCTGTCCAATCCTTTTGTGTTTCATTTAGAAACTTAAGGCAAGCATATAGTGTAATGAAGTCGTTCTGGGGGATATTTCTACTACAGAAGGTGTTGTTACGCGTTAATCGATTTTTATAGAAGCCTAGTTTGTCGTTTTCTGTTTTTTTTTTTTTTTTTTTTTTTTTTTTTT